GGGAAAAGGGGGGAGCGAATAAGCAATTGTACAAATAATGGAGCCAGCAATCTTGATCTTTCACCAGCCACTGGGACAGAGTCTTCCATTCTTGAGAGAGCGAAAAAAATAAATCGAAGTTGCAGCGGAGACTGTGGCGGCGGATCAAAGTGGACTCGACTGGAGACTGGACCGAGTGGATGTAACTTCGTTGTGGGTTGCCGTCACATATTCTCCCCGGCTCCTCCACCGATCTCCCCACAGCTGTCCAAGATTTTTAATGATGATTTGCTACTTCTGACTCGGGATCCTTGGTGTTCCGCTTTATTCGACCACTTCGATTTGCCGCGACTTTGTGTGCGCCACAAACAATCAGAACGGATTAGTTTGTTAATCATTTTATTATGTGGCAGGCCTCAGAATTTGAATTCGATTGAGCCTGAAATTATGGTCGAAAAAAAGGATCGAATGAGAAAGCGAATACAGAAATGGTTGAAAGGAATCCCGAACAGGAAATCATTCTTGATTTGCCAACACCAAAATTCACTTAATTTCTTTGTCAGCTCTTTTCTGCTAAGTAATAGAAACTCTTCGTTTAAAAATAGCCTTTATTTAGCACACCCTATCTTATCTAGTTAAAGTGGCTAATTCTCCTCAGATAGTGCAAGGCAATATTTTCCAATCTTAATCAGCAATCAAACACGAGGGGCTTTTTCCATCATGGTAGAAGTCACATAGGTCGGAGTCGTCAGCTTCCATCTTCATTAATTTTCCACTATCGGAAAATTCAATCAACTCTGCAGAAAAATACATTCATAATGCAGCAAGGTTAAAGCCATCAGACCTGGCCGAAAAACTTCCGAGCTTCGACTGGCATTTGACCTTGGCAGAGAGGCCTTCTTCAATTAGTCATTACTGGCCAGGCATCCGCTCATCCTGGGGAAAACTTTCACTGATTTCGGAAAGGAGGCCTTCATCAATCATCAGATATTCCAATGCAAATTAGACGCAGACCTACGCCCACCGAGTCGAATAATAAATCAGGAAACCATGTGACAACTGCTACAGTTTGCTTCTTTTGTGTAAATCCAGCAAATGTCAAGTGTTGCAGTTGTCACAGCGCCTGCTGTTGCATGTTGCTGGTGTTGCTGCTGATTCTGCGTGGCATAAATCATGGGAAAGGTCAAAGTGCACACGCCTACGGCATGTTCAAAACTCTGGCTGCAAGGGACCGAAAACGAAAACACATGGTCGCCTTATGTCTGCAACAATTGTCAAGTGGGCAGCAACAGTGGTTGCTGTTGGTGTTGCCGTTGCTGCTGCAGCATGATTTATGCTCACACAGACAATTTCGGTGGCCGGTTGAATTTATTGAATTTTATCGCTGTCGTGTCCACCACGACCTACTTATATCACCCACTATCAAAGAACGCAGCTAATCGAAGGCCAGTGGTCTTATCAAGTCGTAAACACTATCGGCAATCAGCAATTCCGCTGCTTAAACGCTGGTTCTTAAATAAGTTTCGGTTGGTTTAAAAACTCTTTGTGGCTCGCCATTGAACTTGAACTTTGTTTTGTGTCTGCAAATTGCCAGCGATAAATTCAGCAATGCATCAGTGGCAACTAGCAGCAGTTCCCCCCTTTCTGCAACAACATTGACAGTCAAATTAAAGTTGGCAATTTTGCAGTGGGTTCTGTTGTTGCCTTAGCCATTTAGCATGTGGCCCCTGTTTTATCCCCTCTCCATCCTTTGGTTTTTTTTATTTTCTGACTGCGTGTCGCTCGCAGCTGATGCATAACCGTTTTACGCTTCGTTGCCTTCAACGTGCAAATGAACTGCTGCAACAAGAGCAACAGCAGCAGCAGCAACATCAGCAACACGAGCAACATCAACAACAGCAGCAACATCTAGCCCTCTTTCTTACAGCTACTGCTGCAGTTTGAGAGGCACTGGGTTGTGTTTTGGGGGGAGAAACGCCATTGATGTTGAGACATTTCCCATTTTAATTTTAATTTTTTTTCTTCATGTTGCTCCCTCTATTTTCCTTTTCAGTTTGCAATTTTCGTTTGACTTTTAGTGCTTTAAGCGCGTGTTTCCTTTCGAATCTTTTTTTTTCCATCGAAGAGTTGGTCAATTTTTTCTGTTTTGCTGACATTAAGATGGGTTTTTAATGGGTGAGAATTGGATATTATCAGCAATGCAAATCTGTATTTCACGTTCAAGGAAATGTAGAAGGGCATTTTCAAAATTTGTATAACTGCTGCATTATTTCGGTTAGAAAATATAGAAATTAAGTTTTATAAATTATTTGAAATATTTTTGTGTAATTTACCGACTTTATTATTTTAGAAACGTTATCGCTTAAAGTCCGTGAATTACGTGCTAATGTAAAGTAACTAAAAGGCAATTGCTTTAATTTAAATTATTCAGTTTTTCATTTCTTGTGGGTGGTGAACAACTCTTCTCTTTAATCTCGAACCGCTTCACATTTAATCTGATTTGTGTAGCACAATGTTTTTGCCATTTATGGGTTGCTACCGAAAGCTACGGATCATATAATTTAAAATTTAATTAAATACTTATCGCACTGGCTGCAGCTCCGGGAAATAGAAGCTCGCTTAATGCCGTAAAGCCAACATTAGCATTGGCATGCGGTTAGTTGGTTCACTGGACAAACGAGTGACCTCATCGAAATTATTAGCTACCAGCAGAGCACACACCCAGTTGAAAAATTGAAAACAAACAGGGAGGCACACAGACACTATAACTAACTAATTATAATTGCTAGGAAAGCCGCAAATCTGTATTTCTGGCTCTCCCTCGATTCGCCACTTGTTTATTGATAACCATCTAGCACGTATCGCCATTTAATTTGCCCCTCATTTATGCAAATTGCGTTGGCACGCTCTGTAGACTATATAGATTTTTTTCTAGCTGGAAATCCGTCATCAGCGGATGATGAGTTTCTAAGTTCAAGGTCGTCGGCGAAAGAGGGGCAAAGTTTTAATGGGCGAAGCAGACTCAAATAAAATCACTTGCAACGGGTTTCCACTTTATTATCCACTCAGAGGAAGATAAAATAGCATGTTAATACGTTTTAATTGCCGGGGGAAATGGAAGGCAGTTATCCTGCCGGTGCCGAGTTATCCTGTGTGTCACGTTACTCATACGCACCGTAATCAATTTTTATGCCTGCCGCTTACGTGAGTTGGCAGCCAAACGATTCAGAGATTTCCGAGCATTCAGAGCCCTTCTACAAATATGCAGATGCGGAGAAAGTTGAAAGGGTTACTACGTGGTTTTTTAATGCCAGCCGTGTTGATTGTAATGTGTGTGTTGTGATCACGTTTGCAAATTCATAATTTAATTAGTCTGGTGCACTTGAAATTCCCGTCATGTTATGAGTCTCCCAATTTAATAATAATAAAAATGCTAAATTACTTGGCGAAGCGTTTTACGAGCAAAAAAGGAAGAGATTGCGCTGTTTCTTCATTACTTCCTTGGCAATTACAACTTCCTCTGAGCTGTGAGTCTGAGTCACCGCTTCTCTTCTCCGAATCTCTCTAATGGCACTCATCAACTTGATGCAGCTATATATGTGGGTAATATAGCATTTACTCGGGCTTTTCTTCTTTATTTGTGGCCAGTCACGTTGGCTCATAAAAAATAAGCAACGATGGCAAAGTGCTGACACAACAATGCACAAGAAGTGACACAGGTTCCAAAGTTCACATAGAGAAATTGGGGAACACTATGATTTAAGAGAAATTAAAAGTAGATAAAGTAAAGTTCTTTTAAAAATTTAAAAAATATTTATATATTTTCTAAGAATATTCTATATGGGCACTTCCAAAAAAAAGTCCACCAAGCCAAAAACCTTGAAACTTGAATAAAACATATTTCCACATGATTTTGCCCCGATATTAGTTTCTAATTAGTTGGATACTAAGCTTAACTACAAATTTCGAGTATAGTTTGATTATTTTTATGACAAACTCTACCAATATACGGAATAATCAGTTTTTGGCTATTTTTTTGTTATTTTTTGGACCTGTCTTCTGTTGTTAATTTATCCTATAGGAATGCTAATATGTAACATTTTTCTGTACTGAATGCTTCATTCACATGCTAAACTATTAAGTTAAAAGCAAAACATCCAACAATTGAGAGATAGAGGTAAAGAAATCCGCTTTACAAAACAGTCGAAAAAAATGTCCCGAGCGACATGTCCCGAGCGCATGTGGTTAAAACTGCATAAAAAAAAAACGGCAAAGAATTTTTGAGTAAAACCAAAAGCATTTCATAGCGACATGTTTGAACGACATTCTAAAAAAAATCGCATTCAAATATTCCATCAGAATTAGCTAATTTCTGGTGTTGTATGAACTTTCCCGAAATCCACTTCTATTTTTGTCCCGAGCGAATACGGCAGTTTTTTACCGATATCTTAAAAACTAAAAGTGGTACAAAATCAAGATTTTTACCAAAAATAGAGCTTGGGAAGAGTGAAAAGGAAAGCCTATAATTAAAATTAAAATCCATTGTTTTACAATTTTTTTTCAACTTTAAAGGTGTGCAAATGTCCCGAGCGACATTTTGGAAGTGCCCATATATTCTATAAGAAATCTATGGTTAATATAATAAAATTTCTTTGAGGTATCCACTTTATGAAGATGTTCTATTCCATTTATTTTATAATTCCCAAATATTGTTTATTTGGTATATTAAGGTATAATAGGTAGTTTTTCAAGGGGCAGTAACGAATGGTGTTATGTTCTCCAAGTGCAGGTTCTCCTGAGAACAGGCAGAAGTTTTCGAAAAGTTCTTAAAGCCCGGCTTAAACCCAGGCTCATTGGCCGTGAGTCATGTGGCCGAGATGGGTTGCAAGTGGCGGGTGCAACGCCTTGAATGCCAAGTAGCCGAAACACCCGCGCTCAAAATTCGAGGCACGAACGATGATGGATTGTAGAGAGACCCAGAGTAACCCAAACCCATCTTTTCCCCTTCTTATTCCTTGCAGGCCCACGTGGTCACCGCCTTTGAGCAGTCGCTGTCCAACATGACCAACCGACTGCAGCAACTGACGGCGACGGCGGAGCGAAAGGACGGCGAGCTGACGGACATGCGGCAGACGATCGAGCTGCTGCGGAAGCAGTCTATCCAGGCGGGACTGACCACGGCGCACATGCAGAGCATGGGTGTCCAGACCCAGGGTCAAGGTCAGGGTCAAGGTCAGCAGGGCTCGGAGCTGAAGCCACCTGTGGGAGCACCAGGATCCCAGCGAACCAACAACAATGGCACACTGGGAATGCAGCGGCAGCACAGCACCGACTCCATGTGCTCCCTCAACTCCATCAGCTCGGGCTGCTCGGCGGCCCAGGACAAGAACAAGGCCAACAAGAAGAAGGGCTGGCTGAGGAGCAGCTTCACCAAGGCCTTCTCCCGCAATGCCAAGATCGCCAAGACGAGTCGTCATGTGGGAGGTCATCATCATCATCACAACCACTCGCATCAGGAGTTGTCTTCGGGAAAGATGATGACCCTGCAAAATGGCCATGAACCCTTGGGTCTAGCCTCTTTGGCCACCCAACCTGCTGCTCCTCTGCTGCCCAACAGCAAGCAGGGCAGTCCTGCCAAAACCCTCACCCTCATAGACACCAAACCCATCGATGCCATCGAGCAGGACGATCAGCAGGTGGTCGAGGACCTCAAGAAGCAGCTGCGCGAAAAGGATCTCGTCCTTACAGATATCCGACTGGAGGCCCTTAGCTCCGCCTCGCAGCTGGAGAGCCTCAAGGAGATGATGAACAAGATGCGGGCGGAGATGATGTCCCTCAAGCACAACAACGAGCGGCTCCAGAAGCTGGTGACCACGCGATCGCTCGCCGGTTCGGAGGCCAGTTTGGGTCAGGCCATCAGCCCGAATGGATCGGTGGCCGGAAGCTCCGAGGTCTCACGTCGCTACTCCCTGGCTGATGGTAATAATCGCCCTCCAATGGAACTCCCTGCTCGCCTGAGTGAGGAACTCGAGCTGGAGGAGGAGGCTCCTGCCCCGGAGCCACCACCACCGCCGGCGCCAGTCGCTCCGCTCGGCAGCCCGAGCACCCACATCGATCTGACTCCCCCGCCGCCCGCTCTGGAGGCAGCTCCTCTGGCCAGTCCCGTTCACATGGCCAGTGCCACCGAGGAGCTGGCCGATGTGTGCGACGGCAAGAAGATAGCCATTGCCTGCTATCTGGGACAGCCGGAGGCCTTTGCCAAGTACTGCGAGGAGCTGCAGGAGCTGGATGGCTTCTATGCCAATGGAAGCCTCGAGGCGGCGGATGGCCAGTCGCAGGGAGAGCGGAAGTTCTCCAGCAACGGCGGCTGCAACGAGTTCGTCATCGCCTGCACCTACATCTCCGGGAAGACGACGTGGCAGAATCTGGACTATGTGGTGCGCAAGACCTTCAAGGACTATGTGGCCCGCATCGATCCGGGCACCAATCTGGGTTTGAATACGGACTCAATCACCTCGTACCATTTGGGAGAAGCTAAGCGGGGTCCCGAGATGGGCTTCCCCGAGCTGCTGCCCTGCGGTTATATAGTGGGCAGTGTGAGGACCCTCTACATCTGCCTGCAGGGCGTGGGCAGCCTGGCCTTCGACAGCCTCATCCCGCGCAGCATCGTGCACCGCTACATCAGCCTGCTCACGGAGCACCGCAGGCTGATCCTCTGCGGACCCAGTGGCACAGGGAAGTCCTACCTGGCCAGGAGGTTGGCCGAGTTCCTGGTGGCACGAGCGGCCAGGGGCAATCCCTCGGAGGCCATCGCCACATTCAAGTGAGTCATCTTTCGTAACTACATCCCTATTTTACGTTATTAAGTAGAGCTTACAAGATATAAAGGCTATCGATATTTTCGATATTTTTTTCTTCTTTTTTCGTTTTTTTTGATAGATTATTGATTAACGGAAACTTCGATGTTTGATTATACACATAATTGTAATAATTTATTAGATTTTACTTTTTTCCTTTAAAACATTGAAATTATCGATACGATATTATGAACATATCGAAAATATCGATATTTTTAAACATAGATGCTTTCGATATATACAATTAAAATCATTTATTAGATTTTTTCCTTGAAAACATCAATTTTGGATACAATATTGTGAAAATATGGATATTTATCAAACTCTAGATCCACATACCTTTTTTTCTGGTTATTAACTAATTTATTTTTCCCCAGTGTGGACCACAAATCCTCGAAGGATCTGCGCCAGTATCTGGGCCACATTGCCGAACAGGCGGCCATCGCCAATGGCGCCTCCGAGCTGCCCTCTGTGATCATTCTGGACAACCTGCACCATGCCTCCGCCCTGGGCGATGTCTTCTCCTGTCTGCTGAGCGCAGGACCAGCCAACAAGCTGCCCTGCATAATTGGCACCATGTCGCAGGCCACTTGCAACACGACCAACCTGCAGCTGCACCACAATTTCCGATGGGTAGGTGATCTCTAGGATTTCTCAAATTAAATGGAAACTAAATAAGAACTCCTTTTGTGACAGGTCCTCACAGCCAATCACATGGAGCCCGTCAAGGGTTTCCTGGGCCGCTTCCTGAGGCGTCGCCTCTTCCAGCTGGAGCTGCAGACGCAGCATCCTCAGCCTGAATTGGCGGCAGTTCTGGCTTGGTTGCCCTCCGTGTGGCAGCACATCAACCGATTCCTGGAGGTTCACAGCTCCAGCGATGTGACCATCGGCCCCCGGCTCTTCCTCGCCTGTCCGCTGGACCTGAAGGACTCGCAGGTGTGGTTCACCGACATCTGGAACTACCACCTGTCGCCCTATTTGGTGGAGGCGGTGCGCGAGGGCGTGCAGCTCTACGGACGAAGGGGAGGCGCCTGGAACGACCCATCCGCCTTCATCCGCAACTCCTATCCCTGGCCGTATGGCCCAGATTCGGTGCCACCTTTGCGGCAAATCAATGCCGAGGATGTGGGACTCGAGGGCGTGGCCCTAACCAACGGGGAGCAGCAGGATCCCTTGGTAGGATATTAAATTCTAGCTTTATATTTCTATTTTTACTAAACAAAAATTCCCTTTAATAACAAACAGCTCAACATGCTGATGCGCCTGCAGGAGGCGGCCAACTACTCGGAGGCCCAGGATCAGGAGTCGGACTGCGCCAGTCTGGACTCCAATGTCACTCCCGACAGTTCAGCCGGAGCCGAGTGAAGGGCTAACTGAAAAAAACCCATAACCACTTCGTACATGCCAAATTTAGATGGACTAACTAGATGGAAAACACGCTGGCCGAGGGTCCTTCACCAGGATAACCAGGATTACCCCTTTCCCCGCACAAATGAGACTTCTTGCTCTACTTTCGCTGCGAGGATGAAAAGCAGTTCCAAGAGTTTTCCATTTGCACCAAGTCACCAATTTTCCCCATTATCATCTCTAACCACTCCCAGCCATCTAGAGTAAATTGCACTTTTTAGCGCACTTGTTAAAAAAAGCAAATTGTCAAGAACCCACACAAAAAACACACTAGCAACCTACAAAATCTTGGACCCCCGGCGGCATTCCCCAAAAAAAACCGGAGAGAAGAAACCCTAACTAACATGAAATGTTAACGAAAGTAAAATTCATTTTTGTACATATAGCACCGACTAAAGCCCCCTATGTTTAAGTGTGAATCTGTCCGGCGGTTTAGACTTTTTATACCCTGTATCCTAGCCCTGGACCGGCAGATCGTTTAAATTAATTCGCAACTAACACCTAACTCTATTGTAAATGTAGCTATAGGTTTTTGCTACTACCAATTTACATGATGTATAGTTGAAGGAAAAAGCTTTCACTTTAGTTTAATTATTTGCGTAATTACCATTAAATATTGTTACAAACATATTGCATATTTATAAAACCCCCATGAAGCGGAATACCATTTAAATATTTATTATGCCAGGCGGCGCTTGAACACAGGAATACGCGAAAGTGAATACGTAATGCCCCATCCTCGATGAAATAGCTAAATTACCGACTCACCAGATCCCTATCGAAAGATAAACTCATATACTACCCATGCAAGCAGTAAAACTATATGATACGATAAAGCAAATTATGTGTCGCTGTCTAATTTAAATGTGTGCATTTATGAGATATGACATCAAATCAAAATAAAATATAATATCAAACATAAAGTGTGTGTTATTTTCTTTATATATTAGTTGCTCTTAAATTTTAGATATATCCTTCCTTTGTAATTTGAATTTGGCGCCTTCTTTCGATAGCATGAAAACATATCGTTATGCCTGGACTGTGTCTTCGCTACATTAGGAGGGTGTATTTGCTATCCATTTTTCAGGGTGACCATGAATGCCTAAACTTTGGTATATTTGAATAAAAGTTATTTAGTATATTTTTTAAAAACAGATGGTAAATTTATCTCTATAACCACGGTCACACTAGTTGGAAGTCCAAAAAAAAGTAGGTAAAGGAGCAGAAATTTGTTAAAATTGCGGAAATTAGCAAAAATAAGTGAGCGCAAGCCAATAATAACTGATAAGGGCGACGAACAACCCATGTTATAAGGGGAAAACCCAGTGCCACCGGTTTCCGAGCGGTTTTCCGGCAGATGCAACCGCCCACCGATTACACAACATTCTGTGATGGCAATGAAAAATGGGAGAATTATGCGGATATTATGCCAAACGCAGCACGACATCGAGGGAAATATATGACGGCGAGAGCTATTGGAAGGCCTAATCAATCGGGGCATTATGGAAATGGATTTAATCACTTATAATACAATCCTCCCGCTGTTACATAACCTCCAACTGAAGGGGCTTTACATACATATATACCCTTTGAAGACCCCGTGAGAAATTGGAACTGACTAACTTCTAGTGGTTCTAGTCCTTACTAGCCCTGTAATATCTATTATCTGGGATAATAAAAGTCTTCATATAACTCGGCATAAAAGGATCAAAACGACCCTACTCTTCAGAACTATCTAATTTCTATAGTTCATAACATGTATACCATAGTTTAACACCTTATTAACTAACACCTTTTATTATATTTCCCCTACAGAATATGGCCCTGCGACTAATCAACAGCGCTGTGCTCCGCCAGCTGGTCTCCCAGCTGCCCAAGAACGCCCAGGTGGGCAGCGTGGCCTCTGTCCACACCCTGGACAAGATCGGCAAGCGCGAGATCGTCGGCTACGGCTGGAACGGCACCGCCTGCTACGCCGATCGCGTGGACTACCCCCTGCCCGCCGTGCGCTTCCGTGAGCCCAACAACGAGATCAACGCTCTGCGCACCAAGGAGCAGGGTGACTGGAAGAAGCTCAGCCCCCAGGAGATCAAGGCCCTGTACCGCGCCAGCTTCTGCCAGACGATCGCCGAGGTCCAGGCTGGAACCGGCGAGTGGAAACTCCACTTGGGCGTTGCCCTGCTCTTCTGCTCCGCCGCCATCTGGGTGGCCGTGCTGATGAACCTCTTCGGTGAGTCTTTAATTAATCCGAGGTTAACTATATGCTAAAAGCCCTCTTCCCCTTTAGTTTACGATGAGCTGCCCGTCACCTTCGACGAGGAGCACCAGAAGGCCCAGCTGCAGCGCATCATCGACCTGGAAATCAACCCCGTAACCGGATTGACCTCCAACTGGGACTACGAGAACAAGAAGTGGAAGAACTAAGCGCGCTATCTTTGAATAATTCCGCTATTCTGTGTGATTAAGTTAGCCGACGTCTGTGTGTATTAAGTTGAAGCAAGATAGTCGAAATTAAAGTTATGGCTGATGCCTAAACTAAGCGATCTTCAGTTTCAATCGGGAAACCAACCTCAATGATCAGCTCTAGATAAATCAATCACTCTTATTATTTATCCCCAATTCTAAGAATCCTTTAACATGTTAAATGTATCTCTGCCTAGATGTTGCTGTTTAGAGAACTTTTCGAAAAATTTCGTTCCTGAAAGAAAAATTTGTTCTTTTTAATAGATCAACAAAGTGTAGAGAAGCTTCGCCTACCTCATTCTATCCTGATCCTCGGGCGTTAGTTCTTCCTCCTTTTTTGCATCAAAATATCTGGTTTTCATTCCGTTTGAAGAGCTCATCCTCGGATCTGAAGCTCGGTCATAACTGAAGAAGGTGCCAAGTTGGATGAGTATCTTAATCCCAAGGATGCGGCATTGGTACTCACGTTTTGTACCACTCGTAACCCTCGTACGGAGGTCTATGCATATTGTGTGGACGAACATGACGGTGTCTATCGTTCTCCTTGTGATGCTGATTGACTTTGCTATCCACGTAGACGAGGAGAAACAGCAGGCACGCGAGGATTACCAAGTAATTAAGCCTTGATTCCATAACAGTCGTCTCTGAAGTGAAAACGTAAAATCCCAAATGAGTTAGACTAGAAAATATGGATGGAACAAATGGATTTCTGGTGACTGATTCACTTTCACATATAGTTGTTCTAAGAGCTTTTGATTTCAGTAAATACGCGGTAACTAATTTCATGGAAAGATCAGATATATTTATTGCTAAAAGTAATTTCTCTGTATTAGCAACAATTAGATTAGAAATCTGATTTATAGTCAAGAGAAATATTCTCAGCCAGTGAGTAAATGTTAATAGTTTTATCAATTATGCATTCGGAACTTTTAAAATGGTCAATTAATCAGTGATCCACAGATATAGATGGACAAGGTCCCCACTTCCCATTGTTCGACGAGATCTGAGACATTTATTGCTCTGTGAATGATTTTATTAACGGTTAAAATATTGATCGCGTGCAATTCCGACATTGTGAACCATTAGACGGGGCTATGTTGTCTATGATGGGCTCTCACACGTGCTGGCCAATTTCTCCAGCGCCTTTCCTTTTCAATATTGTGGAATCCATCATGAGCCACCGCATGTCGCACTTTTCGCATCGAATATACTATCTGCAGGCCCAAAAGGAGGTACTGTTAAAGAAATAATTAAATATATGATTTCTCATTCAAGTTCATTACAAGTTTAGGAGTATTTTACCAAACAGAAAAAAACCAACCGCATGTTGTCACAATTGTCTGGCATCTAATTACATTCGTCATGTTTCTGTTTCTGAGTAATATGGTATAGGGTGCCTCTATACGGAAAGAAAATGTTTTGATCTTTAATTATATTTTTTTAAAAAAGAGTTGGTTATTCTCCTGTAGTTCTTTTTATACCCGTTACTCGTAGAGTAAAAGGGTATATTGTATTCGTGCAAAAGTATGTAACAGGTAGAAGGAAGCGTTTCCGACCCCATAAAGTATATATATTCTTGATCAGGATCACTAGCCGAGTCGATCTAGCCATGTCCGTCTGTCCGTCTGTCCGTCTGTCTGTCTGTCTGTCTGTCTGTCTGTCTGTCTGTCTGTCTGTCTGTCTGTCTGTCTGTCTGTCCGTCTGTCCGTATGAACGCTGAGATCTCGGAAACTATAAAAGCTAGAAGATTGACATTTTGCATGCAGATTCTAGGAGTTCCTACGCAGCGCAAGTTTGTTTCAAAAGGGTGCCACGCCCCCTCTAACGCCCACAATCGCATATATACGATTTTAAAAATTTCAATATTTTGGAAAAGTAAAAATGCAGTTTTATTGTGTTTATCAATACCTATCGAAATGTAGAAGAAATTTTTTAAATCGGACCATTCGTTAAAAAGTTACGGCGGATCAAAGTTTTTCTCCATCTCTTTCGCACTCCCTTTAGCTGAGTAACGGGTATCTGATAGTCGGGGCACCCGACTATAGCGTTCTCTCTTGTTATTTTAATAATCATTACATGATGGATATTTTTCAATATAGTAGGATAGTTAAGGACGTGGAGTGGTGAAGGCGTCGTTCCAGTGAGCCCAGTACTTCTCCGTCCTCAAACTGTGGAAGCCATCGTGGGCTTTCACATGACGTGGACCCGATCTATGTTTTCCTGGCTTCACAAATGGATCTCCTCCGTTTTCCTCGGGAACTGGATCGTCTTGCTCCGAACTGTGGTATTGTGTTTGGTTGTCCGTATTATGAGCATAGATGGTACCGTTCATGGGTGATATAGTAACCCCCAATGCGGCTATAGTGGTTTCACCGGTCGAGTTGCCTTCAGCTACTATTGGAGTTTCAGCAGTTGGTTGTGTGGTTGGTTTTGGTTCTGATGATTCAGTCGCAGGGGTTTCCTGAGCCTCGAGAGCGGTTACCAAGAAAATAATAACGCCGACCTAAGAACAAAGTATACATTCGATTATGTGCAAAAAAGAGGAAATACCCTCACCAGCTTGAGTTCCAGTTTCGCCATAGTAACGTCACACCTGATGTGTATATTTGATTCGTTGGAACCAGAAGAGTCGGCTGGGCAAAGCCACCTTTTATAGCTTTTAACTAGCTGCGCAGGTTCAATCGATTAGAGCAGTTCATAATCAATTGGAGGAGTCGCTGCCTGATTTTACGGGCAGAACGAACCAATTGGTGACCCACAGATAGATGACGATGCTGAATTTACGAACGCAGTCTGGGAAATTCCGGGCAGACGCATCCAACACCTGATGCCCGATGCCGATCGGGTTTTTCGAGAGAGAGGGAGAGATATGGGGAGCTAACTGATTGCTCCGGGCTGAGTGTAATTGTGGGCTTACCGATTTCCATAATTGTGGGCGATTCTGGAGCTATATAAGTGAGCGATGGCCGGCAAACACCAATCAGTTCTCGCTTGGCCCTTGCTTATTGCACTTAATCGATTGAGATGTTCATCAAGCTCTTGCTAATCAGCCAGGTGGGTTCTCGATCTTGACCAGGCCAAAAGAGACAGCTTTGATTTAATACCTATTTATTTTAATTTTAGCTTCTGGCTCTGAGCTACGCTCAGTTGACTTTGGAGGAGGCTAAAAAACAGATCGATGCCTCGGTTTATAGCGACGAGGAGACTGGCGATGATACGCACATGCCGGAGCCCCATTATCCTCCCCAGTACCAGCCTCATCATCCTTATCCCCATCCCCATCCCCACAAGAAGGTGGAAACCACTACTCCTGTGCCGGAAACCACCACCACTCCAAAACCGGTGACCACCACGGAGGAGCCCAAAATAGAGCAGGAAGGCGAGGGCACAGTGGCTCCGAATGATGATGGCTTGGGTCAGCTGGACGATGGGCTGCTGCAAAACAACGATGGATCTGCCCTTCCGGAGTCCACCACTCCTGAACCCACTACGACCACAACTACAACTACTACAACTACAACTACGACTACTCCAAAGCCTCATAAGCATGAGCCACATCCCCACCCTCATCCCCATCCTCATCCACACCCCTATCCGTATCCCCAGCCTTACCCACCCCAGTATCCGTACCTCCATCCTGGATTAGTATTCACTCCCGCGGGACCTAAAATCGCTCCTCCTGCGGAAGCCTCGGAAACTCCAAAGGATGCCGATAAGGAATCCCCGAAGCTTGGGGGATATCCCGCCTATCCCACCTTCAGATCGCCCTACTCCCCCTATCCGCCACCGGCAATCTACCAGCCACGCTACCAAGGATACGGACCTAGTCCCCACTTTGGATACAACCACAATCACGAGAAGGACTCCGGCGAGGATAAGACCGAGGACAAGTCCGGCGAGGACAAGCCCGAGGACAAGGACAAGGAGGAGGATGTGGCCCTGAAACCACCTGGCTATGGCTACCCGCAAGTCTATCTAGTGCCCCGCAGACCAGTGATCGCTGTTCCCAGCTTCCCGCGACCAGGAGGCGGATATGGTTCGCCCTATGGCTATGGGCGGTACTAATACAACCTACGCAACACTGTGAAAAATACTGAAAAAAGTCATTGTTGAATTTATATTACTTCCTAACATATTATTAAAAAGTCTTTAAATTATAATTACTGGTTTATTATTTCATTTATTTAATGATTCTTTTTGGAAGTTTTTTAATTTGGTCCTCAAATCGTATATTGGATAATCATTTATGATCAAAGGTTTTCACTTTAAATGCTAGTTGCAAGATTACAGGCTCTTAGATTCGGGAAAATGATAATTGCCGAGTTGCGCATATTAACAGATTGTCTTATTGGTTTCTCATTTCTGATTTGCGATTTCTGATTTCCCTGTCGTGCATTCCCCAGGCTGATAACCCCGGGCCCCGACTATCTCACCTTGGTGTTTTCCAGTCGAACGGGTTGAGATCGCCGTTGCATTTAATTGCAGCGCATTCCGCCCAGTCAACTCATAGTTCTGTCGATCGTCGGAAGTTCGAGACGCAAGTAGCTGTCGAGATCTGCGAGATGTTGCCGCTCCAATTCGTTCTGCTGGGCTGTCTGTTCATCGCTCAGGGGGTGAGTTTGAATTGGTAAATTCTAGAATTTGTACTTCAATGCTTTCCGAATCTTTCAGCTTTGCCACACATTGCCAGAGCTCAAGGTGAGTTGATTGGAAAACAAATCGAAAAAGTGCTATTTCTAGAATACCCTTTAATTTCAGGCGAGATCTCCGCGAGATACATCCAATATACCCACCCATTTGTTTAAGCCCGTGGGTGGAAATTCAGGCAATGAGAATTTTTCTGGAAGATCTTCGTCAAATGGTGGAAATCGCACCGCCTTCCGATTCCGCCGAGATACATCCAATATACCCACTCATTTGTTCAAGCCCGTGGGTGGAAATTCAGGCAATGACAATTTTTCTAATAGATCTTCTTATATTGGCTCAAATGGCACCTCCAATGTTGAGTTTTTTGAGGTGGGATAAAATAAAAGAATATAAATATAGTTTATTTATAATTGCTTATTAATCTTATTCACATTTATTGTCTTTACAGAAATCCAGTGGAGAAGTGGAAGAAGTGACGGCCTCGTACGAAGAAGAAGATGAAGTTCCTAGCCGACCCATTCTATTTAAACCTCAACCGTTCCCTCAGAACTTTCCAAGGACAAATGGTTTACGTAGACCTGTATGTGTGGTTATAAAACAGCATTGTCACTGATATATATCATAACCTAACTCTTTTAACAGCCCAATTTCCCTACAAACCCTTCGGATTTCAATGCAGGTCCCAGCGGAAGCCGTTTTATGAGCTCACCGTTTTTCAGGGACAGTGCTCTTCAGCCTGTTCTCGAATCCCAATTTCGAAACCAAAACTCGGGTTTTCCGGATTCTGGGTCGGTAAGTTCCATAACTCGTTAACTGTCTGCATCCGCTTAATAAAATATTTGCAGCTATACGGAGAAGCGAGAGGCATTACGACTCCCCTAATTTCTGGAGGTGACATTTTCGTTCCGCAGCGACGTCCAAATGGTCCGGGTATTTCTGATTCTGGGGGGGTAAGTTCTGTTACTCGTTTACTGTCTACACCCGCCTAATGACATATTTGTAGCTAAGCGCTACAGCGAGAGGCATTGTTTCCCCCACAATTATTGGAGGTGCTATGTTCGTTCCACAGCGACGTCCAAATGGTCCTAGGGACTCATCGGGCAACTTCTACCGCTCAGAGTCGTATAGCTATACCTCGGATGGCCGAGGACCTCCCCAGGTTCAGCGGGATGTGTACGACTCCCGGGATGGATTTGGATCTTCTTTCCGCAACTTTTAAAGCAACGTCAATCCAAAAAGCCTTTTTAAATAGTCTGTAAATTAAAGGTCGTGCTTCGTAATAGAAACAAGTGGATTTCCCCTTCCCGCTGATAGCTGATAGGTAACTGATTTCCGATTTCCAGTAAAACTAGTTGAAGCCATCTGAGATTAGCATAATCAGTAGTGATTTGCAATGGGAATAAGCGGGAGCTTTTATAATATTATAAAGACTTATTTGACTTATTTATTAAAATAAAGGTAAAAATAAAAATTAAAATATTTTAATTATTTAAAAAAGTAATGATTCTATTTTAAATTTTATGAAGTAAGTACAAAAAACTTTTAAGAGATCATAGGGTACAAAGAAGAAACTCCCCATAGGTCTATTTCTGACGTCATCTCTGCATTAAGTTGTAAACAAAACCTAGTCTGTAAGTACATATGTATTAAGTCAGTGATCGTGAGATCGGCAGTAAACTGTAATCAGCTTATAGCCCGCGGGGAGCGTGATAGCACATATGATGAACTCAGGAAGATTCGTGTTTCTATTTGTTCTCATCGTAAGTTGGGATCTGCATCGCCAAAGGGCGGAATTTTCAGGGAATTACCCGAGTGGATAAGACAAAAAGATGGGTCTTATAGCACAGCATCTAACCACAATTGGTGGAACAGAAGGATTAAAACTTTTTAAGAAAAAATTACTTAAATAATAATCGAACCGCTTGGCTTGCATAAAAATGCAATAATTGGAAAACACATTGCTTTTATGTTTTTAAGAACATTTATTGATAATTACATGAAATCAGAATTTGTCAACTTATCTAGTTTCTCATACACATCCTTCTCGTTCTTGAAGTCCATAAACTGTTTTACCAAGTCTGAATTCCTGGCCAATCGGCTGTCGGACCATGTGCTCATATAATCCTCCACCTTGTGCTCGATTATTTTCAGAGTAGTTTCCAAATTTCGCTCCAGAACCTGCTCCAAGTCTTCAACTCCGTGCTGGATAAACAGCTGGACGACAACCTCGTCGGCTTCAGATTCGAATTCTTTGCTGTCCGCGGCTTCAACTATGCTTTCCAATTCCATGATAGCGACTTCCAGATTGTCCAGCTCGAATGAATCATCGAAATCCAGTGAATCCAAGACCGTAACAAATTCCTTGAGCTCCGTGAGAATGAGACTCTTTGAATTCGGCGGCAGAATAAGTTCGGCTTCGTCGATGACCAGTTGGAAAACATTTCTCAACTCCTCCAAAGCATCTGTGACCAGTTGAAAGAGTTCGTTGGTCACCTCAAATCTCAACTGATGTCGGTTCACCGGGGGAGCTGCTAGCTGTTAGAATTCAAAAACTTTAGTCTATTGGGATATATTTGTACTTAAAGGAACTTACCGATGAGTGCAAAGCAGCGAATGCGAATAGAAAAGTCCAAGTTGATCTGCTGGCCATTTTACTCAAACTGTAGTAAACTTCACTGTTTGCGATTCCTTTTATAATCCCTCGTTTAATTTGTCATAACTTCACAAAGTTGTAAACAAAAACGAAGACGCCTCTCTAATAGATAGTCACTGATCGTGGGATCGCCAGTAGACTGTAATCAGTCTTCAGAATTCCGGAGAGCGTGATAAGAACGTTTTAGACAAATCCAGCCCCTTGAATTTTAATTTCCGGTTGGAGGAAACCATATATTTTGTGATTATAAAGTTGTATAGCTACTTCCCAGATCACGTTTATATTTATAGCTTTATTTTAAAGCGGAAAAGAGACAGCCGTACAAGTTATTCTTCGGTCAATTTGCAATACTTTTTTTTTAATATTAAATATTATATTCTACTGTACGAAAAGCAAAGATATAAAGATTCCCAGAAGAATGTAAAATATAATAAAATAAAATAAATATAATAAAATAATTTCAAATCTCATTTTATTTATATATATTTGTATATGTTCTCAAATATTTTTGTGTACTAAGAGATATACTATAAATTCGCCCATATGCCCCTGGCCACGCCCTCCACCAGAGCCTGGGCCAGTTTGGAGTAGTCCATCAGATGGAGCTCGGGAAGTTGCCCCTTGAGGCTTTGCGGAAATTCCAGGTAGGACATGATCAGACTGTCCTCCGTTTCGGAGGCCAAGCGGGTGATATTGGAAACCAACTCCGAACTGTCCTGCCGACTGAGTCGCAGATACTTGGTGAGATGCGGCTTGACCTTCCCGAAAAACTGGCGGATGGCGATCTTCTCGCCTGGCAGAACCTCAACAAGCAGTTTATCCGGGGTTCGGTGGGACATCAGATCGCTGTTGATCCAGGCGAAGATGTAGTACGCAGTGCTGTAGTATTCCTCGTTTCCGGCAATCGCGTCCAGTTCCTCGAAATATTGCCTGTCGATGGTCTCGTTGGCCGGCAGGTGGGGAAGTCGCTGGCGGGCATCCTCTATGGTGGAGTAGAGAACCTGATTGTAGAGTCTCTCCACCGCCTGAATAGTGCCGCCAGTCAGGTCGGCCGCTTGGGCCGAATCAGCCAAGGTCTGGCAATCGAAAATAGAAAATCAATAAGTTCACTATCGCCCTCAACTTGAACTCACTCACTCACCAGGCAGATAAGACCCACTGCCAGGGACCAGCCAGTGATGCCGATAAGGAAACGATGCCTCGAACTGCGCTCTTCTGATCTCGCCATGCTTCCGTGATCGCTGCTCGATGGAGACTGATCATCCCACCGACGGAACCCCAGAGACCCCTACCCAAAACAATCTCAGCTAGCCACTGTTTGGGTTTAGTTTGTTTTATTAAGCGCAAGTAGAAAATATCTCAAGTATTGTTTATTCGAATTTCGTAGAGTGAGCAAATTAATGGCCATTAATGTTCGTTCGTGTACGATTACCTAATTAAGCTAGCTAGGAAAAAGATGCCGTCTTGCCGAATGTTAGTAATAATTTGCATACACACAAATAACATTATTAACAATTGGATATATAAATTACACATCTTAGCATATACTTAGGCTAATTGCTTGCTACTGCATTTCCGTTACACGCCCAGTAGAATCGCTATATTGATTGAGACTATATATATTGTTATTCAGCATTTGTAAATTGGCTTGTAGCGTAAACTGATCAGATTCGGAGACTTACTATGTAAATATATCTCTTAAACCTATAAAAAACTGTCTAAAATATTAAAAATAAAAGAAAATATTATATTTATCGCGTGAATATGATTTGAAAAGAGAAAAAAGGAAATAATTTATTTACAAAGAATATTTACCATTAAGAAAAGCAATTTATGATTGACAAAATACGTTTGGCTTGTAGGTAAACTGTCTTAGAACTAATTACTTTATTTTGTAACGTCTGCCATATTACTTGTTTATATTTATATTCAGAATAACACGCTTTACCCACGATTGTTGGCAAATACACTGTAAATGCCTTTGTAACAATCTGCTTAAAATATTTAAATTAACGTCTAAATTGACTCAGGAATTTAAGAGTTTTATTTCTCCAATTACTTATATCTGTTGCTATGGATCTTATTAACATTACGTATGCATATTCTTATAGCTAGATCCTGGAAGAATGCTAGTTTAGCCACTTTAATCTGCATTTCGAAATAACACACGTATGTAGGTACACATTGTTGCTATAGGACATTCACTGAAACACCGAGTTGCACATTGATATTACTTGATATATGTATTTTCGAGTATATAGCTTTTCTGTGTTGCAGCTGTCCAAGCATTGTACTGATTTGGCTTTCAAATATTTGTATTCTTCATAATTGAGACCTGATAGCAGCCATTGTCAAAGTTCACACCAAAGTAGATTCTAACTCATTTCCTAATATTTATGCTGTTTTTATCTATATGATAATTTTACAAGTTTTCAAGGTACATCTGACATTTAGGACACTGGGGTCCATTGAGACCCCAATAGTCGATAACAAGTTACAAAATAATCTCCATAAAATGCAAAAATAAAATGTGTTTTTTATTCACTTATGCTAATTAAAGTTATTAAATATTTTAAAAATAGCTAGTAATAGTTAGTAAGAAAATATACTCATATATATTTATGATCAATTGTAAATTCTGTTATCTAGAAGACAGTCCATGGAGTAGAGCTTACAACTAGGTCGAATATCGATAGAGAAATACGATCTAATGTATTTGGTTGTATAGTTTTCGAAAGCATGCCGAAATGCTTGAATGCTTTGTATGTGTACAGAGTAGTTCAGAGAAGCTCTTAAATGTCGCGGAAAATGTAATACGAACAATTAACATTTATATATTTAGGTTTCCTCTTCTTATCTGCTAGTTAGTAATACCTTGAGTAAATTTTTATAATATCCTTTCTAGCCTATTTTCACCCACATTTCTGGGACTGACTGGAGCTACTCACCATTCAACTTCTGGGATTTGGAAATATTGTCCTCGAGTACACTTTCCGTTCATATGTAAATCTTTGACTTACGGTCTTAACCACATGCTGGCGAAATTTTTCATACGCTTTTTGTTGAGTGTAGGAAATCATAGACAGAAATAATTTTAAAATAAGATTTATTTGCTGGTGAAATTATGTTTAGTGTTAAGTCAAAATGCAGTTCCGTTTGTAAAACTAAAACTAAACTTAAGTAAATGCAAAGTTTACCAAACTAAGCTCAGGATGAATGTCAAGGAAACAAATGTTACAAAAGAGAATCATGTTAAAGCAACTCAAGTAGACGACAGCACAGAGACGGAGGAAGAATATGTTTTACTTTTTATCACAATTGCGTATGAAAAATTTCTTTAATTGCTAGAAGCCGCCACGCCCACCGCCGCCACCGCCCCCGCCGCTGGAGCTGGCCAGTCCCGCCGTCGATTGGCGGGGCACCAGGATGCGCGGCAGGGTCAGCGACCTCTTGGGAAAGCCATGTCTGCCCGCCTGCGGCTCTTGTTGGGCTAAGGTCGAGGTGGAGGCCGAGGTTATTGGCTCCGCGCTCTCCCTTCGCGAACGAGGAGCCTCCGTCTGACCTTTCGCCTCCTCCCCCTCCCCCGTTGACCTCTGGGAGTCTCCGTCCGGCTGCTGCAAATGTCACGCATACGACTGCGCCGTCTGCGGCATCATGCCGCCGGAGTATCCGCCATCCAGACCCGGGGGCCGCTGCTCCACCAGGTTCTTGAGACGCCCCCTCAGCTCCTCCAGACTCTTGGACTTGGCCTTGTTGATCCGCTTGTACTTGACGTCCTTGGGCTTCGTCACAGACCGATGGTTTAGCATAACGCGGTTGTAGTTGGTTACCTGAAAAGGGAAAGTTAATGTTTAGAATATTTCAAATAAACTACAATCCAAAAATTTAAAAATAAATATGCAATAAAACTAAAGATTTAAAGGATCAAGTAACAACTTTGCGTATTTTATTGTAATGCAATTATAATTTTATTATAAGTACAACATACAGTAATAAATCATTTAGGTAAATATTTAAGACTGTTTTATAATAATTTTATCATAAGAATACAAAAAATGTAACTTGAGTAACTTAAAAGGATTTCTCCTTAAAAAAGTTTATAAAGTCAGTTGAACATCCTTTTTTAAGATATTGAAAAAATAGTTATACCAAAAAAGCAAGGCTAATTAACAATTATACCAAACTAAATTACTATAAGAAAATGTATATACAATTTTTAAATTTTTGGAACATTTACTTTTGTATATTTCAGTTTTAAATTTTAAATTTTCGTGGCCCTCTTCAAGTTATAGCTTTCAGTTACCTGGTTCTTTCCGTTGAGCGGCTCCTGTCCTCCCGATGGCGGCGGAGGAGACGGTGGCTGCAGCTGGGGCACCTTCACACTGAGCGTGGTGCAGGGTGAATCGTGGCTGGGCGACCTTTTGAGCACTCCCAGTTGGCGCCGTGGAATGGTGGATCCGCCGTCGACGGGCGACGACTCTTTGGCTTTGTCGGCGGCCGAGGGACTGGCGGCATCTATCTGGCCCTCGGTCGAGCTGGAGCTGAGCGCCTTGTCCGAGCGGTTCTTGAACTTGTCCCGCTTCTCGGCCACATCCGTGGTTGGTTCGGGGTCTTCCTCGACGGAGTATACCGTTTCCAGGATATCAGGCCGCCGCAGGAAGCAGTTGTTCCGCCTGGCTGCTCCGTACTTGTTGTGATTCGTCTCGATGGCATCGGAAATGGAGCGCACTATGGTGATGCCATCGCTGCCCAGGACCCCGCCCAATCCTCCTGCTCCACTGCTCTTCCGACGCGTTCCCAAGGTCATGGGGCTGTCCGAGTCGATGTCCTCCAGCACCACCGCCGAATCGGAGTCGTTCAGGGAGTCCAGTTCGTTGGCATAGCTGGCCTCGATCGTCTCCAGGCCGTGGTCCACCAGGCGCGAGGACAGGGTGTCGATGATCTTCTGCTGTCGCTGGATGGTCAGCTCCCGGTGGTTCAGCAAACTGGCGATCTGCTTTTGCTTCCGCTTCAGCCGGGATTCTAGGAGCAGCAGCTGCGAGGTGAGCGAGTTCATCTGGTCCGACTTCTCCTTCTGATACCGGTAGTGCTGCTGGACCTGTGATTGGATTATATTAGAGGTTTATATTTATTTCTTTAAATAGATACTATAACTAGGTACTATTAAAAAAATTAATTAATCAATTAAGAACTTCGTATTTAATTTTTGGAGATATTAATATTTAATAGGAAACATATTAAACTGTTTGCTTAATTGAAAAACATTTTAGTTAAGGAAAATATAAGTCAAGATGTTAGAAAGCAATTACTTAATACAATAAAAATATTGCATTTTAAAAGCAAAATTCAAATCCTAAATATGGTTCAATATACTATTATCCTATTTAAAAGAATAAATAAAATAATGTAAAATAAAATAAATAACTAAATATTAAATACAAAATAGATTTGGGTACTACTGAATTTTTTTATCACTGAATTTATATTCTTACGCTGATTTTTAAAAATTTGTAAATACCAATTTCCTTTTAAACTCCCTTATTATCCCCTGAATAATCACCTGCATGGCGTACGCCTTGCGCCACTTCATGATGTGCTCCGTCTGGAAGCGCACCTTGGAGCGCAGCTCCTCGATGATGGCCCTCGCCGTGTGGAGGTCCTTGGGATCCTGGTTCATCATGTTCAGGCGCAAGTTGCTCGTGTGTATCGAAACGGGAACGGGCGGTGGCCATTGGAATTCCAACGGCGGCTGGTTGACGTCTGTGGGCAGGGAGCCCCTCGGTTGGGCGGCCTTGGTGGTTTTCGGTGTGGAGGGAACGGTGCCAGCTCCACTGGGGCCACCTCCTCCTCCACCTCCTCCGCCACCCACTCGTTCCACTCCTGCTGCACTGGAACCAGGATCCACCGACTGCGGCGCCTGAGGTTGCTTCTGTATGCTGCACGCCATGCTGCTGATGGTTTTGGCAAATTGTGTCGCCCGGCCGGCATACATTTGGCTGAGAAATATACGATGTATCCGTAGCTGTTTCCGTATAGCTCTACTGTGTGGCTATATCTTTTCCCTTCTCCCGATGTGTGTGTGCTCACGCCGGGGCTATCTTCATCTGCATCTGGCCGGCTCAATGGATGTGCACTGGCCCAGAGCCGAGAACGTGTGCTGCCTGCAAGAAGGAGGAGAAGGCAAGAGGGCTTTTTATTAATAGTCAATATTTACCCCTCGAGCGGAAGGAAAAACAGCAACCAATGGAAGATGAATTTCCTGCGCATATTTACTTAAACTAAAGCCTTTTGAGTGATTTTTAAGCAGCGTATTGTCCAGTTCGCTCATATGTATTCGAATAATTTTCCTGGCTTCCCTGTAGGTAGAAATGTTTTCAACAATCCTTCGTCCTCCCCGGGAGCTTGGTTAAAACTGAAATTACGCATACCCCCGTGGGCACGGATGCGACAGATGCCACAATGCAAATTCCATTACAATGCCAGGCAGAGAACAGAACAGAACAGAGCAGAAAATGCCATTATGCATAAAATGAATTACATTAAGCTGTCATTAAAATTAAATTCGGCAAAATTATTCATGCCACCCACTTTGGGGGCTCCTTTAAGCAATTATAATTAGTGTTTAATATACGCATTTTGATTTGAATACATTAGGCCAACTGAAATGCGAAACTGACCGTAAAATTCTGCAACCTGTAATTTTGGTTTCGCCCACAAATAAGAGATAAGAGTCGGGAGTCCTTTTATTAGTTTCCCTGTATTTTGAGGGGCTTACGTAAGGCGGAAGTTTATGGGCTAATTACTATTGTGGAATTGTGTGATAAACCGATTAGGGATGATGTAATTTATAGTGATTTTCCCGAAGAGCGAAGAAAAAAATGCAATCGTAAAATACTTTTTAATAAGCTTGATTACCTTTCTGGAAAAGCAATCAACTCTTTGATTTATGATAACAATTAAGTAATTACCCTAGGCACTAATTAAACTGCTTAGTGCCAGTTTAAGCCAGTTCAAGTGCAACAGGAGAGCTTGGAACTCTAATGAATTCCACAGAAGTCGCTTCACTCGCTGCGCTTCTCTAAGCCCAGACAAATTGAAATTATCCATATAATCTGTTCCGTATCTTGGCCAAGAACAAAAAAGCCGTTCAGACGACAACGGAAAACGGAAAGACAGCGACAAACAAAAGCCAAAGAAGCGCAGGAAGACGACCAGCGAGCGAGCATGAACCGCATTTTTAACATTTTCATTTAAAATATCTTTCAGCTTTAATTCGTGCAATTCATCAGAAAGTCAAGAATCCAGAGTTGAGGAACTTGGCTGACTTGAGAACTTCCGTTTCCACTGGCAATGAGGAATGCTGTTTGGCCAAGAACATGCAATTGAAAACTATTAACAAAAATGCCAGACACGCAATCTGCAGTCTGAAGACAATCCATGTTCGCCATTCCAACTGCAACTGGCTCCCATTCATCACTCTTAATTATGACAATCCCCAGGTTCTCATTTGGACTCACTCGTAATTGAATGCTGTTCACCTGGACATTTCGGGAATGGGAATCCCCAAGGGTCAATCTCCATTTGGAGCCTCGATTTATGACCCCTTTGGCCAGCAGATCGCTCAATTCAAGTTAATTTAGACCACTTTACTGTCGTGTCTTAATTGAAAAGCTGGTGAATTGAAGCTGGATGGACCTGCCATTAATTTTACGAGAGTCAGGACTTCAGTCATTTCTCTAACAGATGTTTATAGTGTTGAAAAAAGGTACTAAAAGATTAAAAATCTTACGAATATTTTATTATTTATTATTATCTTAATATTTATTTAATTTTTATTTATTTAAATAAAAGTGATTTTTAATACTTAATTACAGGTTTTTTATTTTTAACCAATTTAACGACTGAATGGCTAGAAATTGCAAACCTGCCATCGACAGTTATAACCCACAATAATCTAATCAGCCTTCAGACTGTCTAGCCTAATTAGAGATATCAATACAAATCGACTGTTTTATCTGTGCTCTCTGTTTAATCATCATTCTCGACAGCGGCATTTATTCAGATATCCTGGCACTCCGGGGGAAATTTCTGGAATGTATCGAATCGTTGTGGCTTTTCAACGAAATGTAATTATGACAATCAATTTCAGGCTGGAGTTTTATCCAGTTACCACCAAGTATGCACTGGCATTGGCATAACCAGTAAATTGAATCCACAAGCGGACGGTTCAGGTTTGACACCTGACCCCTGGCGGCCACAAGCCACAATCCCAGAATCCCAGAATGCCAGATAGACATGGCCTTGCATCCTACCTTCCAGGCTATTTTAGGCAAGCCTGAATGTGAGAGGCCCTGAGAAATTCATGGGGCTTTCGATGGCCAGACAGTGGCTGCTGAATGTTTGCGGCCGAGGGGTAATTAATTATGCCTGTCCTACGGCCGAGGTCCGTTTTTCGTGCGTAATGTGGCTGGAACTGTGTGTTTATGTGATGAACGTGATTTTTACACAGTTTTTACAGTTTTCGTACCGAGCATGGCAAACAGACAAATAAAGTCGGCCCGACGACAGCGAGGGTAAATAACCCTCTCTGGCAACCCAAACCAACCCCAAACGCCATGTCAGGAAATTCCGCAACGTTTCCACACATTCGGAGGGCTTTTGTCCAGCTCTTTTGGCCCTGAAAGGCTGGCTGCGCTCGGACTGTTTGTTTTGCCTTGACCACGACCGCCAAAACATGAAAGGACACTCTTAATGATGTTAAACGTCATCGCAGCCCTTCGGCAAATATCACCACCCCCACCCCATTTTGTACTCCCATGAAGTAGTAGGTAGTTTTCCTGGCTAACAAGGTAAAGAGATGCCTTGTAGATCGCTGTAAACCTAGTTGTAAGTTACTAAATTGAAGCAGCCATTACTTTAACACTTTATATCGCTTAAGGAAGAGTATGCTTTTTGATTGCCTCATGGGTAGAAAGTTCACTAACTAAATGTGTAACTCCACAAAAAAAGATATTTAATATTCCCTCCATTCCCAAAATATCTAAATTATTATTTAAATTTAAATAAAATAGAAAATATAATTTGAATAGCTTTAAATTGTATTTTCAATTTATTTTAAACTTATTGAAAGCTTAAAAGAAAAGTTAAAGAAATAAAAAACTGTGTATAATCTCTGTAAGTATTAATACATTTATTTACTAAATAATATTTTAATGTAAAAAAAAGAACAAATAAGCAGCCAATTTATTTCAGTGTAGAAATTATCCAACAATTTCCAGGTGTAGTTTCCTACACAATTGCCCTCAAAGTTTTGCAGCTAATTCACAGGCCGCAAAAGTTGGCTTCGCTGGGAAAATTGAGGGTCTCCTGTGCTATTTCTTAGTGAGGGCTTCAATAAATTCCGAGCCATTTGCCAGGAATTGTCTTATTTCCTTCCTATAGGAAGGACTTTCGGAGTCCGTTGAGAAGTGGGGATAACTTTCCACTTTTATAGGTGGAACGTGACCGTAATAAGCCGTTTCACACGCAAATTTCCCAGCCCCCTTTGCCGCCAAAGTGTTTTTCTCCGGCGAAACGCGAAAGTGCATTAAATATTTATCCAATCAATAAAGCATATTTCGCTGCCTGTCCTCCCCCATTACGTTTTTTTTTTCGTACCCCGGCTGCTTTCATTCTTCTTCAATTACCTGCAACAGAGGATGTCGACATGACTGGCAGTATTTTTCCCGTCGCCTCCTTTATTCTGCCCTTTATTATTTGCAATCTGAAGTTTTTCGCTGGTTGCTTGTTTATTTTATATTCTTTTTGTTTGGCACACATTTTTCTCGCCCTTTTCCCCTTGGAACACTCCAGCGCGTCTGCTTATCTCTTATCACTTTCAGGCCTTTGAGCAAAAGGCGGAATTTTTTGAATAATTTACCGCGAATGCGGCTCATTTCTCAAATCCCACATGTTGCTTGTTGGCCGCCGTTTGTTTGTCTTTGTTGTTTGTTTGTTTGCCCGCTGCTCACATTATGGGTGAGTAGCTGAAATTGATTTGATATACTCAACTTCAGCCAGCCACTCACTTTGGCTTTAAATCAATCTCTCCTTTACATAGGGTCGCTTAAAGTTCAGCAAAGTTTTACGAATCCATAAACTGAGGACAGGGGCTTTGCTGATAAATCCTGCAAGGTGCATCGATTCATGTTCAATTTAACGCCTGCAAAGCTGCTTTTAGTCAATTGACCATTAAGTGAGTTGTTTCAGCCATTGCCCCATCCTGCTGGGTAATCGCTTTTACCGGTTCTTCTGCTCATTTATTCCACATAATCGCGCTTAATGCTGAGCATTAATTAAATGGCTTCGAGCTCGCATTACCCTGCACGGCAAACGCGCAGGACACTGGAGTACCCACATATAAAAGGAGAAAGGACGAGGGTGCCATACCCCTTGAATGTACCATAATTTGTGGTAACTGCATAAAATAATATATTTTGAAAAGGAGACTTTAATCGCCCTTAATGAGTATGGCACTTATGGCAGCCACTCGTAAAAATGGGATAAATTCCACGGAAAATATTAAAAAAATTAAATGCAAAAAATGCTAAATGCATAATAAATGTAATGTAAATAAATCATGTGTAATGTAAATAAATTGTTATCCTGTGTACAAGGGCAGACTAAAGCCACAATCAATATTATTTAAAAATCGCCCCTAAAAAACATAAAATTACAAGGATATATTAAAGCAAAAACCAATATTTTTTAAAAACATTTTTAACCCTGATAAAATTACACTTAAAAGTCGAAACTCTTTCAGGTTACCCAACACCCAACTCGAGTGCCATAGAGTGTGCTAAATGAAGCGCAGCGATGTCAAAGTTAACTGACTGTAAGCTTACTCCGTAATCATGGTCTATACCCCCACTCCTGGAGGATAGTTGCCCACCAGAGTTACTAAGGCCTTCTATTTGCCAGGACTCTGTCGGAATCTCGTCTCACTTTCCAGCGTGTTAGTTTGCTATCCCAACCAGCTGTTGCCTTTTTATAGTATTTTAATTAAATTGTAATAACAAGGAAGCAGCGAAACCGAGAAGCTAAAAGAGTGCATAATTATAAACCTATTAGAGGCTACAAAATGAAAAGCTGGCTGTTAAATAAGCTTACTCTTACTATTAAT